CTTAAATGGCTCAGAGTCCTAACAACTATAATGTGATGTGACATGTGGTTACCAAGAGTTGTGATGGCTGATGATAACTCACCGTCACTGTGTAAAACCAGTCATTTTAAAATAGGACATGCAACATAACACAACAGGAAGGAACACAACTCACAACCTCAAACACACGTGCCCTGAGGGGCCTTCATATTAACAACCCAGGCAATGATACAGAAGACAGTGGTTTCATTCACAATTTCTAACACCTGATGATGACCACATTAGTCGAAATACGTAGTGTAAAACTTTANGTGGAGAAAGTAAATAGCTTCTAATATGTTTTATAGAACATCAGAATTGCAGGTGAGACTATGGATCTAACTGATACTTGTATATTTTAGTTTGCTGGCTCATAAAGAGAACCCACCTCCTCTACAGGTGAATTCAATTTCAACCAGCTTTCTCACATATCTGTGTTTCAGTAGCAATGACCTTCTCTTACATGAACATACACTTCTACAACACCAGTTACAGGAATTAATATTATAATCAGTAACTATTTCCTTACTATTGTCACATTTCAACTTCTTTTCCTACAGAAAGCTTGGCCAGAACTCAAGTGATGAATAAAGTACAACTTTCAGTACATTATGTAATCTATAGGTCAATAACTGTGACTGAATTAGAAAAACAATTCCCAAGTGGAAAGGGAGAAATACTAATACAGGAGAGATCACAAACTCACTTAAAACTTTTATGAATTATAGATTACAGCAGTTTATTGATTCTAGTCCAAATGCTATTAACATCCTTTCATGAACTTCAGTGCTAATAACAATGGCCGTGTGGTCTAAGGCATGAACTGTCTTTGCTTCCTTGAACACTGGGATTGTGACTTCAGATCCCACTCAAGGCATTGATGTCTGTCTGCATTTATTCTGTGTTTATGCTGTCATGAGTATTGAGCCGCGCTGAAGGTCAGCTGGTTCTTGGGCGTGACATCATGGCGCCTGCCATTCCTACATTCCATCTTCACCCCCATATGTTGACATATTATCGTCACTGCCTATGTATCACATGACCTTCTATCCTTCTTCCGATGTCGAGGAAGGAAACAAGATCCGCTTCTCAGTCGGTGACGCTACGTAGTTGTGACTGGGTGCTTACCAGCCAGCGGGGGATAGCTGCTGGAAATTCTGTTTTGACCTGGTACCTCTAAATTCTGTTCGCTAAATCTTCCGTGGCTGGCTGGTAAGGTAAAGGCTGCCCACAACTGCAAGCCATTGGCTTAGAACGGTTGCAATGTGCGTAATTATTAATTTCTATTATTATTATCATTATTATTATTTATGTTTTCTGGAGTAACCTGTTTGACGCCTAAATGAGGTNTCTGTCTGTGTTCTCCACACACACACATACCCAGGAGGCCCAACAGTATAACACACGCAGTCACAGGAGCAAGACATAACAAAAGCACAACACACACAAGACAGTGAAGGAGTGCTCCAACAGAGGAGAATGGGCGTGACTGGCATAGTGAGGGGCGACGTAGCGATGTGGTATCCTGAACAATTTTAATATTTTTAATGTTTGACAATGTATATGATAGATACATATTTTGGTTATTTTAATATGAGAACNATTGGCGACAAGTGATTGCTGTGCAATCATTGATTTGGGTTGTTGTGCCCCGTTTGTGACTTGATTATGTATTTTTTGTATATTCTATGTAAGTGTGCTAAAAAATGGTGCCAAAATCCTCACTCCTGAGCAAAAGGAAACTCGAATGAACATTTGTGTTACATCCTTCAGAACACTGGAAATGATCCAAACTTCTTAAGAAATGTAGTAACTTGTGATCGATCATGGTTTTTTCAGTATGAACCAGAAACTAAGCGCCAATCCATGCACTGGAAGAATTGCAGGTCCCCCGCCAAAGCATGGAAGTGCAAGTCAAATTTCAAATAAGTTATTATCGTCTTTTTTGATATCCAAGGGATTGTTCCTATTGATTGGGTCCTATTGATTGGGTGCCTGAAGGTCAGACTCTTAACCAGGTCTATCATAAGGAGGTTCTGACAATTCTTCGTGAATGGGTGAGAAGAGAAAGACCTGAAGTGTGGAAGAAGGGCTCCTGGATTCTTCACCATGACAACGCGCCAGTACACAATGCACTGTCTGTCAGGACATTTCTGGCAGAGCATAAGATCCCCATGTTGGAACATCCACCCTACTCACCTGCCCTAGCCCCGCGTGACTTTTTTTTATTTCCAAAGATCAAGTCTGCATTAAAAGGAAGCCATTTCGAGTCTGTGGATGCAGTGAAGACAAAGGCAACAGAGGTAATGAAGAAGCTATCAGAAAAGGACCTGCAGCATTGCTTCCAACAGTGGAAAACTTGCATGGTGCTGTGTAGCGGCCAGGAAGGGGACCACTCTGAAGGTGATAACATTTCCGTTGTGTGATTGGCTGAATAACAGATTTTAGAGCATCAGTTCCGTTATTTTATAGCCACTCCACGTATGTGCTCCTTCAGAAGAGAAAATGCAAGTCTGGTTCGACTTCTTCAGAGAGGGGGATCTACTGTTCAGTCAACAGAAACACCCAATAAAGCAAAAGTTTCTTGCATATTATTCTGAAAAACAGTATAGCAGGTATGTTCACAGCATGAACTCTGCCTTTGCAGTTATGCTTTATATTGCCCTGACCACACTCACCTGTATCCTCACAGTGTAAACCTTGCATTTTATCAAATTCTGTTTCTTCCAGATTCAATCACAAAATGAATAAAACACTGCACTTTCTCACAGGATTTTCTTCCTTTTGTTTTACATATCCCCCTTTCACTCCTGACATCTGTTCAGTTCAGTTCAGTTACATTTATATCTGTCATTTTGTGAGTTTACTCTATGTAGAAGTTACAAGGTTGTCCTTTATTTTTAATGACTTTCATAATGTATATTCCTTTATTATTTTGTTAGATTAAAGCAGATATTTGATGTGAACATTAAACTATAATTTTATGTTTAAATTCCATGTAACCCCGCATTTAACTCTTTGACTGGCGCTGGCATGTTTTAACGCCCGGACGATGCCAGCCGTTCCCTGGCGTTGGCGTGTTTTAACGCTTTGACAATCTCGTCCCTTCTTTGCTCTCTTGGCACTCATCAACCAAAGACATATATATTAGTTTTTGTGCATGTTTGTAAAGAACCCTTGTAAACTTTGTGGGGGTCTATATTACTGTCAGAACCCTCTGAGAAAGTAAAGGTCAGAAAATATTTCACATTCATTCAGTTTCACCATAGCTTCTTGCAGCAAGTGTCTTCGTGTTCCTACAGACCAGCTGGAAAATGTTGTGAACGAGATTTTTTCTGATGATGATAGTGGCGATGAAATAATGATTCCTGAATTGGATGAAGTTGATAGTGACAATAATACAGTGATAGACAATGATCCACAAGACAGTAATCATGAACATTTACCTACCACGAGTGCGGTGCCTGACACGCCCATCTCATGAACGTACGGAGACATTGT